TGTCTGACTCCAGCTATTTGATCTACAACGCTGTGTATGCTGTGGCCCAAGTCGTCCATAAGATTCTTTTGGAGAAAAGAGACATGGAATGTCCAGGTGGTACGGAGCAGCCTGTGCTTCTTCCCTGGCAGGTAGACCTCCCCTCTACTAGGACATGCCCTGGGCACTTTATGGCATCTGGAATTATCTTATTAGCAGACAAGATCATGAAGCTGTAATGATTGAAAAAGCAACACTATAGGTCAAAATGAAAAAAATTTGCTGTCACTTTGGGGATATGTGTCATTGTGCTCTCTGATGGAAGACATCTACCATTTGGGGCTTGAGTAGAAATTGTGTCAGTAAAGGGGCCCGCAGATGGCATGGTCGTTAAGGCACTGGACACTCCCACATAGCCAACCACGGTTCAAGACCTGGACCTGGTGACTTGCTTTCTCACTTTCCCTCTCTCTCTGTCTCTCTCTGTCTCTGCTTCTCTGGTCAAATTAAAATAAACGAATGAATAAATAAATAAAACCTTAAAAATTCTTTAAAAAGAAAAGAAATTGTGTCAGTAAAACATTTATTAATATAGGATGGAATTTTGGAAAATATAATAAAAGACACATAGAAAAAAACCCCACTCAATATAGATCTACAGCCAGAAAGTAGAATGATAGTTAAGGCAATTCAAGTCCCAGATATGGAGGCTTTAAACACATAGGGTGTATGTGTGTGTCCAAAATCCCAAGAGGAAAATGGAGGAAGGATTGCAGTGTGGCCATCCCTCCTGGGGGTTGATTTTTCTCTCTCTCTCTGTCTCTCTATCTCTCCCTCCAGTGATTACACATGCCCTATGGCAATAATCTAAAATATAGAGAGATAGATTTCAATCATTGCATCTACATATTTCCTAGGAATGTATTTCACTCCAGAAAATACTGACATATCAACTCTACATGGATCCAGCTATTTCATCTTCAGTGATGGACATGGCCTGCCTCAATCCCTTCACGTAATGTTTATGGAGACAACAGGAAAACATCCGATATGTTGCATAGAAAAACATGGAAAACTCTGTCACAGCTTCCCTGACAACCTAATAGTACCCTATATTTAGTCTAGAAAATTATTTTTAGATATAACTGTTTACACAAAATATACGGGAGTCATGGGAGTAGAGACCATGGTCCCCTTTTTAAACATGGGACCATTTAGTGTTCATTGCAAGCTCATTGAATAGCTTACCTGGTTTATAACTCACATACAGAATGTATTTATCTAGTCCTATTTTTATGCACCAGGGCCAAATACACTACATACATTCCTTGGATAAAACAAGCGAATGTAATATATAGACAGACGTGTATATAAATGTGAAAATTAAGACTGGAAGGTGTGCTGGCCAGCAGGTGACTCTGGATCCCAAATGGCCGACTTCACTGTTGAGTCTCAGACCTAGCAGCATGAAACAAAATACAGCTTACAAGAGAGGACGAAAATCTTTAAATCTCAAAAACAAAGCATAGAAGAAGTCAGTAATGTCTTAGTCAAAAGTCACAGGAGCATGTCCATGTTTGTCCAAAATTCTGAGAGGAGTATAGAGGAGAAGGTATCGCGGCATGGCCATTCTCCTGGGGGTGATTTCTCACTTTCTTCCCTCTCTCTCTGGCAACCACAAGCATTATATAACAACCACTAAAGGAGAAAAAAAAAGTTTAATTTACTCTCTCACTTGTATGTGTGCTAACAATAATAAGACTGATTTGCACTCTGAGGTTGCCTGGAGGTGGCTTTGAAAGATGCTAGCAAGATGCTACCGAAGATATGATTGTAGACTGTATAGAATACTTCTATGCCAAGAAGTGAAAAGTTTAAAGAAAAGTTTTATCAAAAATATTTCTTCTTTCCACACCAGAGTTTTTTTTTTTTTTATCTTCAGAAATTAAATAGTTAAGGCACTTTATTAGACGCCTCCTCTGGGGCCAGCTGGTGGCATGGTGGTTAAGGCAGCTGGATCCTACATGGCTGACCGTGCAGTCACAGATAAGGCAGCTTTAGAAGCTCACCAGGTACATGTGCATGTGTGCCCCAAATCCCAAGAGCGAAGATGGAGAAAGGATTGTTGTCTGACCCCCTTCCATGGGCCATGTTTTCTCACGTTTCGTCTCTCTCTCTCTGTCTCTTGATGGTGAGTACACATGCCCTCTAAGAAACAATTGTTTTTAAATCTCATATTAATTCAAGAGTTCTAAATTTTCACCTTCTGTGGTATTTTGCAATATCACATGCCAATCACACTGTCACCAATAAGAAGAAGGATGATAAGAAAAAGAAAAATACAGACTTTACATCCTCTTTTAAAACTTTTAGTGGTGTGTCATTGAAATTTTAAAATTCACAGCTATTTAATGCATATATTTCGATGAGTTTGGATATATGCATACATTTTGATATAATCACCAGTCTCAAGGAATGTTGCTTTGTTGGAGCAGATTTTTACTATAGGGCATATGTGCTCACCAGAGAGAGAGAGAGAGAGAGAGAGAGAGAGGGAGAGAGAGAGAAAGCAAGAAATCACCCTCCAAGGGAACAACCATACCACAAACCCTTCTCCTCTACTCTTCTCTTGGGATTTTGGGTATGCATGCACATGCGCCCTGTGTGAGGTTTGACTTTCCTCGGCTGAACTCCAACCATGTCTACTATGTTGGAGTTCAGTTATGCAAACATTCTGCCACCTGCTGGTTCCCAGTCTCAAGGAATTTAATGTATTTGTCCATCTTGTGTCTTTTTCTTGGTTGGTTGGTTGTTTTTGCTGAAACTCATTTGCACTCGCTGAAGAGACACACACATACACACACACACACACACAGAGAAGGAAAGTGAGAAAGCAGGCCCCAGATGAATGGACATACCACAGTCCCTTCTCCTGCATTCTTCTCCTGAGATTTTGGGCATGGATCCACATGCACCCGGAATGTTTTTCAAGCTACCAGATCCAGGACTCGAACCTCTCAGACAGCCATGTGGATGGGATACAGCTGCCTTAACTTCTGTACTACCTGCTGGCTCCATTTTGTTACCTTTTTGAAGTACCAAGATTAGTTTCCCAGAAGCCAAACCAAACATTGTTAATCAGGATTGTAACAGAACCCATGTCTAAGCTACCTTCTAGAAACTTCCTGGAATTTCTCCAATAGAATGCCATTACTTTTCCATTCTTTTCCTGGCGAAGGGTAGAGTTTATCTTACAAGAATCTATGAGACAGAGACCACCTGAACAAAACTAAGACTGTATCCTCAGTAAATAAATAAACACCCTAAGCATAGGGAAGCATAAATGGAATTACTAAGGTGACCAGCAAGTGGCATGGTGATTAGAGTGCTGAATTCCCACAGAGCAGACTGCAGTTTGAGCCCCAGACCTAGAGGCTAGCTTTCTCACTTTCTCTCTCTCTCTCCTGCACACACATGCCCTAAGGTAAAAACAAAAGAATAATAATTATAAATTAAATTAAAAAATTTTTAAAACAAAATAGGATTACTTGATGAATGTAGAAATCCAACCTCTACATTGAATAAATTTCCTGTTTCCAAATTATGCCTCTTCTCCAGCTCCACTCATTTCTGAGGAAAACCATCTTTACAAACAGCGCTGGGGACAACATGTCTTTTGGTGACAAGGAACACTACATGGCCCAGTATGATATCCAGAACTTGGTGAAGTTTCCTAATAATAGTTGGATGCTGGTTAAAGTAGGAGAGTTTGTCTCTAAGAATCCACACGATCGAGGTTTGGTCATCGATAAAGAGATGCTGAAATGGCCTGATGTATTCCAAGGGGTATGGCCCAATTTCTATATTGAATTTTTACGGTGGTGGGGGACCCTCATGGTGGTGTAGCCAATGGTATGTTCTAGACCTGGGGAGGGGCCTGGTTTACATTGTGAGGCTCTGTGTTCATGCCAGGTGCATTTACACATGCATGTGATTAAGCAGACTCGGGGTGGATAACAGCATGGCCATTGGGAGTCCCTGTCCTCTATCTTCCCTTGATATAAGAAGTACATAAATAAGTTTGAACCATTTAAGGCTTGTGGCTAGAAAATGGCAGAGAGGTTAAGGCAGAAGTTTCTCACATGGCCAGCTGTGTGATTCAATCCTTGGTTCTGGCAGATTAAAAATTATGCCAGGTACCTGTGTGTGCATGCCTGGAATCCCAAGATAAGAATTGAGGACATGGGATTGCAGCTCCCTGGGGTCAGTTTGGGTGATTTGTCACTTTCCACTCACTCTCTCTGTCTCTGTCTCTGGTGCACTCATGCACAAGACAGCAAAACATTAGGAAAAAGAAAAAAGAAAAAAATACTTCAGGTAAAATGGTTAAATTAAGAAGAGAGTAACCCAGCGGTTGTTGTCAGTTTGTATAAAATCAACTCATCAGGTACCACAATAATATATGTTAAATAATTTAGAAATAAAGAAGACAGCTACCATAGCAACCCATTGTTACACGTCTCAGTAATACCGAGATGGTACAACCTGGGGGGACATAGGGAGGGACTCATGTTAAAGGTCTACATTATTGCTTATGAAGGGAGAGACAGAGACATCTGTCACAACAGCTGCTGACCCACGTACCAAACCTGATTCTGTGTTTCCCTCAGACTCCTCCATCCGTGTGTACCCAGAGCTGCGCTCCTGGATTCAGGAAAATTTCCCAAGAGGAAAGACCCACCTGCTGCTTCCTTTGTGTTTCTTGCCCTGAGAGAGAGATTTCCAACTGGACAGGTGGAACATACACAAGTCCCCTATGATAACGTCACTCACTGTCTCTCAACAGAAGGGAAATAAGGACACTGGGGCCAGTGTTCTCAATCCACGTGTTCACTCATGTCTGCAGCATGTCCATATTATGGTGCTGATAGCTGCCACGTCATGAGTTAAGCCTTTGACTGGCTGTGCGTGTCCGATTAGGCTCAACTGTGGCCCATGATTCCAAAGGATGCCTTCACCTACATCCAGTACTGGCTGAGGCAGTCTCACTTGAGGTCCGATGGTGACTGTGCCAAAGTCTACCTTTGAAATGGCAATTGTTGGCAAACATGGCAGGTGTTGGCCAGGTGATGGCTAGGTGGTTAAAGCAGCTGAATCACACATGACCAACTAGATGGTTCATGTCCTGGACCTAGTGGCTTATAAAACACTCCAACTACACAAGGGTGCATGCCCAAAATTTGAAAAGGAGAAATAGAGGAGGGATTGCAGTGTGACATCCCCCCATGCTGTTTTCTTTCTCTCCTTCTCTCTTTCTCTCCATCTCTGGTGAGCACACATGTCCTCTACTATATTTTTAAAAAAACAAAACAGAACTGAAAAACAAGAATGAAATCTGTATAATCTCCAGAGCTATCTGTGGGCGCCCTGAAGGTTTAAAACGGATTTTTTATATGTAGTAACCAAAGAGCAAGTATAAACAAATATTATGAAAATACTTTCTTTTTCCCAACCATGTTCTTTTATTTAAGGAGTAATTTATGTAACTTTATTTATAATTATTATCATTTTAGTTTGAACAGAGAGAGAGGAGAGGTGAGAAAATATATTTTAAAGACTGAGAACTCAACATTCTAATGACATCCACAGTCTGGCTCCTCAGTCATAACTGTTAGCAAAGGACATATTTAATAAATTATATATCAAAAGAAAATGTGATATATTAAAATACAAAGTGTACAAAGATTCATTAAACATGCTTCCATTTTCTGAATATAATGAATACATGTTGCAATGATCTAAGTACTCTCATAAGTACTGTGCAATTACAGTCATCTAAACACTAGAAATCATTTGATATTAATCCCTAGGCACACTCGATACATATCATGAGATATGCCAAGAAAGAAAACATACCCTCTGAGGGCTGATAGATGTCATGGTGGTTAAGGGGCTGGACTCCCACATGGTCAACTGCAATTCAGTTCCTCGACTCAGCAGCTTAAAAATCACTCTGATGCTGCAATCCTCCAGCCTCCACAGGTTTTTGCCATAGGGCGGACTATTGGAAATATTTAGACTAATTAAGTTCATTAGCAAATCAATTAAATGGAGGGGGGGGAAATCTATTCTCAAGGCAACAGGCAAAACAACCTATGTAAATGACCAAAATTGCACTATTGCCAATAAGTGCAGGATATCTGGTTATGCAAGAATGGCAAAAACAAACAAACAAACAAACAAACAAACAAAAAACCCCCCAACCCCCCCAAAAAAAACAAAGTATACAAGACATAACAAATGGAAAATTATTTGCTGATAACGTACATGTTGATGTGCTTGATTGAGCCAACATACAGTGTATTCTGGATGAAAAATTCATTTGTGCTGTAATGATGTATAGTGAATTAATGTAAAAAGTAAATAAATTTAAAGAAAAAAAAATCACACTGATGAGGCTGTAAGTACATGTGTGTGTGCAGTGTCTCAATGTGTGTGTGCCCCAAATCCTAAGGGGAAAATGAAGAATAGGGATTATGGGGTGGCCATCTACTCTACGGGGTGATTTCTCACTTTCCCATAGTGTGTACTTATCTGACTACCACAAGTGCAGAAACCCTAGGGCCAAAAGTAAAAGGGAGGAAAAAGACTTTAAAAGAAAAAGAAATAAAAACTTCTCTTTCTCATAAAAAATTTGTAACACGAAACATATGTATAAGACAAGAAAACTAGACAGGAACAAAGAAGTCTGGATCAACATACACATACTTTTGTGTGCTGGATATGTTTCTGAGACAGAAGTCAGAAGTTATGTTGGCTCTATAAAAATAAATGGACATCTCAAAAGAGAAATTTGGGAGAGGATTAATCTTCTGAATTATAAATTCTCCTAAAATAATTTATTATTGTACTAGTACTATCTAAGAATAATATTAATAGGACATGTGAAGCCAAATTTCCTGTGTCAGAAATGTAGAATCTTGGGGCCTTCAGATAGAATAGTGGTTAAGGTGCTGGACTCCCATGGGGTTGACCACAGTTCAAGTCCCGGATGCTGTAGCATGAAACTCACAACGATCATGTTTATGCGCGAGCCTAAAATCTGAAGAGAAGGATGGAGGGGAAGGGGTTGTAGCAGGACCATACCCCAGGGTGGTTGATTTCTCACTTTCTCTCTTTCTTCTTTACATGGAGTATCTGTGCCATATACCAAAAAATTCTCTAAAAAAATGACCTGTAGTATCTTAATCTTCTGTGCCTCATTGTTACAATCAAAGGCAGTCTCTATTCACAGTGACAGTGAAGGTGATTATCCTTGTCAGCATGGTGAACATGAATGATTTGTGAAACTGAAATGCTGAATCTCTGCTTTCTCCCAGATGCACAGCAGTGTTTCCCATGCCCGGCTGAACAGTACCCAAACAGTGAGAAAACTCATTGCCTCCCTAAGCCTGTCACTTTCCTGGGCTTTGAGGATTCTCTGGGAATGGCTCTGGCCTGCACAGCCCTCTGCTTCTCTGCGGTCACAGCTGTGGTTTTGGGCTTGTTTGTGAAGCACCGAGACACTCCCATCGTCAAGGCCAATAACCGGGCTCTCAGCTTCACCCTGCTCATCTCCCTCCTGCTGTGCTTCCTCTGCTCCTTGCTCTTCATTGGCCGTCCCAACACAGCCACCTGTGTCCTCAGACAGGTCACATTTGGGCTGGTGTTCACTGTGGCTGTTTCCACCATTTTGGCCAAAACCATGACTGTGATTCTGGCATTCAAGGCCATGACACCTGGAAGAACACTGAGATGTTTGTTGCTGTCAGGGGCCTCTAACTCAGTCATTCCCCTCTGCTCTCTGATTCAAGTGATTATCTGTGCAATCTGGCTGGGATCCTCTCCCCCTTTCGTTGACACAGACTCACACTCTGAGCCCAGAAGCCTCATCATCGTGTGCAACAAGGGCTCAGTCACTGCCTTCTACTGTGTCCTGGGCTACCTGGGCTCCTTGGCCCTGGGGAGCTTCACGGTGGCCTTCCTGGCCAGGAACCTGCCTGACACGTTCAATGAGGCCAGGTTCCTCACATTCAGCATGCTGCTGTTCTGCAGTGTCTGGGTCACCTTCCTGCCCGTCTACCACAGCACCAAGGGGAAGGTCATGGTGGCCGTGGAGGTCTTCTCCATCTTGGTCTCCAGTGCAGGGCTCCTGGGCTGCATCTTTGCCCCCAAGTGCTACACTATTCTCCTAAGACCTGAAAAGAACTCATTGAAAGATTTAAAGAACAGAAAATTTTCTAGAGGAAATGAGGCCTGATCTCATAAGTCCATTATATATTTTAGGGTTTTAATAAAAATACCCTGATTTTGCATATTAATTTGATCATGTAATGAAAACTGATTTCACTTTTTAGATGTATTATATTATAAAATTAAAAATAAATACATAAATTAGAAAACTCTGTCAAGTTATTTTAAAGTAATGCAGGTAGAAGAAAAATAATATGGAAAGAGGAAGGAAATGCTAGTTGAAGAATACATTTCTCTTTAGTATCCACACATAGAGCCACGTAATTATGAGGACTTGGTGCCAGAATGATCAAGGCACAGAACCAGAAAATGAAACAGGTGGAGGGGTGAGTGGTTTAAATTAGTGAATAACTGGGGATGTGGGAAAATCTAATCTTCTCTATAATGAGACTACTCCTTTGTGAATCGTGAAGCCCATTTGTATTACAAGGATTCTGCAGACCCAGAAGTGATTGTAGACATAACAGAAAAGTGCCTTCCATAGGTTGCACAGGGATTATCAATGGCCAACATCATTTCTATTCCTTCTTAATTAAACTTCAAATAGAACCAGGATGGAATCATAGAGCCCAATGAGAAGGAAGTCTGCAACATGTTTCTCCACATTGTCTCTCTTCTATCTTAACTGCTTCTTTCTTTATTATTATTTTATTTACATTTATTTATTTACATTCATTCACTATACATCATTACAGCATACAAAATGAGATTTCCCACCCAGAATACACTGTATATTGGCTCAATCAAGCACATCAACATACGTGTTATCAACAAATAATTTTCCATTTCTTATTTCCTGTATATTTTGCTTCTTTTTCTTTTTCCTTTTTTATTCTTTAGAGTTCTGAAGTGACCAGTCATGCTAAATCTAAATCAGGGAAACTCGGGTGGACATCAGAATACACAAAGACTTCTTTCATAAGACCCTCAACGTATAGGCAATAATTAAAAAAATACACAAATTAGATTATGTAAGGTGAAAAATCATCTACACACACACACACACACACACACACACACACAAAACCCCAACCAATAATTAGAGTGAGTTGGCCACTCTCAGAATGTGAGACTATATTTCTAAACTATGCCTAGGTGAGAGGTTGATAACTAAACTATGCCTAGATAAGAAGCTGGTAAGTCTTTGTTTCTTGCACAGAATTTCTGGATGTTTTTAAACAATACACATTTTTTTGTTGTTGTTGATTTTAACATCAGCTATCTCTAACTTCTCTATATCCCTCTTAGAAGTTCAATCCAAACACCCTCAGTCCCTAGTGGACACAGGATTACAGAGACTGCTGTCTTGTTATGGGGCGATCCCCAAAGACTTGCTGGACCATGATACAATCATAGAACCCAACAGAGAAGGAAAGTCTAAAACATGTTTTTCCAGATTTTGTTAGCAACATGGGGGTGACAGGTGCAACGCTCCAGGGTAGGGGGATTCCCCAGAGCTCCTGGATGGGACTGAAGTGAAGCAGAGAAAAGACAGGGAAGCCAGAGCTCCTCTCATCACAGTGGCACTAAGAGAAAGGTCTAAGCACTGTGAGGTCCCTTGTAAATGCCATCCTTTGGCTTCCAGCTGTGCCCTTGTCTGGCACGCCAGTCTGTCATATATGCATTCTATCGGTTGAGGGCCTACAGTGAGAGTGGGGATCTGCTGTGCCCTACACAGAGATAGATTCTTCCTGGAAGGGGCTCATTCTTTAGATCCAATCCACACCCATCTTTTCTTCACTCAGCTTACACAGAGGGTTCAGTCTGTATGTTAGGCAGACAGTAACATGTCAGTCTGTCAAATTCGTGTCTTGCTAGTCCTGCAGACTTTCCACACTGCATGTGAGCTGACGTTAGAGAGCTGTTTCATAGAGCATAGGCCAACTGTCTACAGAGATGGGGACCTGGTCCTGGGTGGGTTTTTCCCCCTTTACACTTGGGATTCGGAAGAACAGTTAGTCCGCCGATTTTTTCTGATGAAGCCAATTGCAGAAGAGCAAATCGAATGGTGAGTTCCATGTGGGTGACATGTGGTTGGAAGTCAGTTTATAACTGAGAATGTAAGTCCAACTGTGATTTTCATGTGTCTCTATGTGTTGTTATTCCAGCCTAGGAATTTGGAAAAGTGAACATCAATACGGGAAATAACAGACCACTATATTTTCCTGCCTCTTTATTCTTCCCCTCTGTTTCTATTCTCTTTTTTTTTGAATTTCTCTCCACCTCGTTAATGACAGAAGGAGGAAATCAGTATCTTCATGGTCCATCTTATCAGCTTCATCCCCATGACCAGACTTATCGGGGCTTGGAATGAGTTAGAGTTTCAGGCCCTCAGCCCCCTCTCCTGCTGTCTAAACTGACTGAATGAGTCACACAAGCATATCAGATACACTGACCCCTTGGGCATGAAGCAAATGGTAGAATGAAGGGGATCATCCTGGGTGCACACTTCTGGCAAGGGCATTGTTGAAATGTGACAAGTACCGCAGATGGGGGTGTGAGATCCATCACTATAAACAGACCATGTTCTGTGAAAACTCAGCTCCTGAATCCTGTCAGCTTGAGGCATTTGGCTTTGTGATTCTGAGAGCTAGAAGAGTCAAGGAGCTCCTCTTTCAGAAAGGGATAACCTCTTTTTCTTTCATCCTGATTTTGAACGTCTCCATGAAATATGCAGACCCTATATGGAAGTGGGGCTTTATGCAACGTCTGGCATACATCTGTCATAGTAGGATGATTATTTCTTGAACATTATTTAATTAGTTTTATTTATCATTTTAAACTATTTGTTATAGGGCACATGTACTTATTAGAGAGAGGAAAAGAGAGAGAGAGGGAAAATGAAAAAGCAAGCCAGCAGGTCTGTTGCTCGAATTGCATTAAGCCATGTGGGAGTCCAGTGCCTTAACCACCACACCTCCTGCTGGCCCTAGAAAAATGATTCTTAATGAGAGGATTACCTCAGTGAGTGTGTGTACTGTATTTACTTTGAGAGTTGCAGCCGTATAGTAATTAAATGTAGAAAAATAATAATTTTTTAAAAGTGAGTGAAAAATATCTATCAATATTTCAACAGGGTTTCCTCCATATTTAGTTTTTTCATGTGGGATTATTTAAAGTTTGTCATATCAACAGATGATCTTGCACTGGGGAGAGGTGTTAGTGGGGTTGCTCTTTGGGGTACACTGTCAGCCTTGTTGTCTCGCCTTTGTGTTAGCTCCTTTTTAAATGACTTCTAAATAGCAAGTTACACTAAATCAGAATCTTATTTCTTCCACTGAATTCCTGGGAGTTTTTAAACAATACACATTTCCATGCCTACCTCCTTGCATTATCTTACGGAATCAGAAGCTCCAGGCTCAAAGTTACAGATAGTATAAATCTCCCAAGGTGAATCTCAAAAGTGGCTACTTTCAGGAACCTCGATCTGTGATACGACCACAGTTATGATGGGTCAATAAGTACTGCAGGGCCAGCCTGTGGCTTGGTGGTTAAGATGTGGGATCTCACATGGCTGACTGCCTTGTCTGAGTCCTGGATCTGGTGACTTGAAGAACATGCTAGTCACATTTGCATTCATATCCAAAATTCAGAGAGGAGAATGGAGACGGGATGGCAGCATGGTCAACCCCCTACGAGGTGCTTTCTTATTTTCTCTATCGTCCTTCACTCTCTCTCTTCTCTATGCCTCTCTCCAGTGAGTGCATACACCCTCTAGTCAATTTTTTAAAAATAAATAAATAGTGGCCAGTAGTGGCATGGTGAGTAAGGCAGCTGTCTCCCGCATGGCCAGTTACTTGATGGGAGTCCCAGAGCAAACTGCTTGAGAAACACACCTGGGGACCTAGCACACCCAGAACCCATGTGCATCAGAGGTGGGCTCAGTCCGGCCTTTTTAACTGAAAAGCTTCTACCCCCAAGTGCTTCTTCCAGTGCAACACCTAGTGAACCGAGGTAATTAGGTATCGGTCTTACATCTGCCTGTCTCTGTATCTCTCTCTCTTCCCTTGTCCCTTTCTCTCTACTGTACGATTTTCATTTTTTTCTTCGCCTTTTAAAAAAATAAATTCTTTTCCCTTTTCTTTTTTTTTCCTTTTGTTTTGCCTCTGTTTTTTGGATCTTTTTCCCCTTTTTATCCTAATCTTTTACCTGACTTTCTTATCTTGCTTCTCAGCTTCCACACATTAAGTGTCTAGACAGGTATAGGTACACAGTAGAAAAACATTTCAATACTAGTAGGGCCATAGAAAACCTCAACCCCCCACTGAACTGCTACAGAAAGGGAGAAACTCATCTTCAAAAATCTAATTCAAATCTCTTCTTTTGGAAAACATTGCCAAACACACTAGTGGAGGAGATAAGGCATAAATGCACTTCACGGGAAAGAGAAGCATATTAGTTAGTTCACAGTAGCAGAAATCTCCAAATTGGTCAAGCATGAATATACCACCAAATGACTAAAAACCACAGAAGAGAGACTGCAAAGGGAGCAGCAGGGAGGAATACAGAGCTGCAGAGAGTGCTGCTCCTCTTCTCCCACACACCTCTTACTTGAAACCCTGCAGCTCAGCCCAGGTGCACCTGTTCCCCAGAAACTGTGAGGCCTTTGTAATATCCAGTTCCATCCACAAAAGTGAAGATTTCTTGGTGAGGACCAGGGAAACAGAGCTGCAGAAATATTGCAGGTCATCTCCTCTTTCACTCCTCTAACACTCAGAACTAAGTCCAAGAAAGTAAGAAATAACATATACGCAGGTGACCTGAAACTTCTGCAGAGGCACAAGAAATATGGGAAACCAAGAAAATATCTCCCCCAGGGTGAAGGGACAGCCCCTCACCATACAGACAGTACAATGGATCATGTGGAAATGTCAGATAAAGAATTTAGAAAATTTGCAGTGACAAAGCTAACAGAGAAGAGAGACAACAAACTTCAGAAGATGCAGGAAAAAAGAGACAATGAGTTCTAGGAGGTGAGAAATTTCTTCCATGATTGGAAAGAGGAATTACACCATAAAAAAGAATCAAACAGAACTGTTAGAGATGAAGGCTTTAATACAGGAAATCAAAACCTCACTTGAAAGTACTAATTGCACATGAGATCATGCAGAAGATCAAATCTCAGATGTAGAAGGCAGAACTTCTGACCTAGAAAAATTCACCAAAAAGACTGAGGAAATAATTAAAAAAAAAAGAGACTAATATACAAGTAATATTAGATACCACTAGACACCCAAACATCCAGAAAATTGGTATGCCAGAAGGTAAAGAAACCAATAAGCCTATTGATAATCTATTACATGAAATGCTTGAAGAAAACTTTCCAAACCTGGAGAGACATTCAAATATCCAGACTCAAGAAATACAAAAGACCCCACATAGAATTAACCCAAGATCTTTTCCAAGGCACATCATAGCCACACTGACCAACCCACAGACAGAGCCAAGATACTAAAATTGGCATGATAGAATTGTCAAGTTACTTTCAAAGGACATCCCATCAGGTTAACATCTGACCTCTCATCAGAAACAATGCAAGCATGGAAAGAG